ACAACAACCCGGGCCAACGGCCGACACCCCCTGAAATCTCCAAAACTCTGGGTGAACTCTCACTCTCTTTCACCACTATAAACAAGATATGATTAGCCACAGCAGATTCCTACACTTTGACATTACCATTGTATTATTTCACCTCACGGCATTTTGAGTATTTCTATTGTGTTACTCATTGAATTACCGTGTGTGTTGTGAATGCGCAACTTGCTTTACTTATTGCGTTGATTTCATTTCTATCTCCACGAAAACTGTTTTTAATAATTATGATCATGCGTGATACTTATCTATCTATCTACTTAAATTTGTGGACAGCAACTGTTTCGCTCTGTTAGAGCTCCTCAGCACAGCTCAGAGGACCGAAGCGCAGCTCTATCTATCTATCTAACTACAAATATTACACAGCAATGAATCAAACAAGTCTCTCTCCGCTGTGGACTTTAGACAACTGTCTATCTATCTATCTATCTATCTATCTATCTATCTATCTATCTATCTATCTATCTACACACACAACAGAGGCGAAAGGCTGTGTTAGCTGTAACTTAAAGTTTCACGCATCGAGCGATCATCAGACAGCAGCATTCACTATCGAATTCTCTACGAGCAGGCCTAGATATTTGATGCTAGTGTGGAAGTTAGTGCATATGTGCGAAGTGAAGACGTGGCATTGGGACAATGGTATTGAGTTGTTTTGTGAGAGTTAACGGATAAAGGTGAGAATAGAGGCGATAACAGGGCAGTGTTACCGAGTCATTAAAGGCGATAGCGACGGTAGCGCAAGACCACAGCAAGAGTGAAGAGGGAGAGAGAAAGCACCATGGCGCCAAACCTGGTGCAGGTTGCGCCATGTCGAAAAACTCACGTAACTGATGGTGAGAATCTGGACAAGTAATACTTGTTCTCGTGTCTGCATTTCGACACCAACTCCGACCTTTTATTGATGTTGACCGTTTTGTCTGCTTCCAGGATCTCCAGTTTCTCAGCAAGGCATAGGGGACACCGCTTGGTCGCGTTCGAGTAGGCTTGGGCCTTGGTGACGACGGCCCATTTCACAGAGTGCGGAGTGTTCTTCCGCTTGAGCTTCCATATGCACTTGGACAGCTCCGTGCTTTTTTCCATCCTCTCATGCCTCGTCGTGCTCATGTGGTTGTTGTATCTCTGTTTAAAGGGTGGTTCCGTTAGGCCGAGGTACTCGTGCCGCTGCTCTCTTCCGGTGTGCTGGACTGTTGCCTTGTACACGATGCATCGTACTTGGCAGTCGCCGTCCATTGGGCAGGTGCTTTTGTCTCGGCAGTTGCATCGTTTGTCGGGGACGTTCTTGTCCTGTGTTTGTCTCTTCCTTTGAACATGGTTGTTGTGGGATTTGACTATTGCGGACATATTCGGCATACATGAATAGCTAACTTTGACGTTGTTGCGGTTAAATATCTGACGCAATCGGCAGCCGTGAGGAAAGTGTGTGTCGAGGAGTCGGAGGAATTTGTGTGCGATGTCTGTGGCCACGTTCTTGCTAAAGGGTGGGTTGTACCAAGTGATGTTGCGCCGCCTATTTTTCTTTCTTCGTCCTGTCTCCTCCTTCCTCTCTTCCATGTACTCGACTCGTTCCACGTATCCACTCTCTCTGAGGGCATCGTTGTACGCTGGTGCCGATTCCTCAAATATGTGTCGGTCACTTGATATGTCTGTTAGTCGTCTGCTGATTGTCTTTGGCAATTGCTGGATGATGGCCGGTGGGTGATTGGAAAGTTGGTGGACATAGACGGGCTTGTTGTTCGGCTTCCGGTATGGCTGGTATTTCCCTGTTGACAAATCCAGTGTCACATCCAGGAAATCTACCGTCTTCATGCCAGCGCTGATGGTCAGTTTCAAACCGAGATTCGTGAAAATCTGGCATATGGTTTTTCTGGCGCGGTCTGCTGTACTGCCCGTCGCATCTCTGATCACCGCTAGTCCATCATCGCGGTACAATCCGATGTCTGCGCTGTCGAACTCCTCCGATAGCTTTGACAGAGCATATGTGCCGACCAGTTCGCAGACTTCTGCACCGTCGAAGCAGCCCATGGTCACGTCGAAAAGTCCTCTCCCGTCTTTCTTCATCCACTCCCGATCACTGTTGAAAAGCAGGGACTTCCGCGAGTGCATGACGATTTCCTTATCCTGCTGCGTAATGTCCGTGTACTGTGTGGCGAAAGTGAGCGCTTGTCCGAGTAGGTCCTCGGATATGGATGGGTAAAATTCTGCAATATCAAAACAGATAAACGAGCATGTGGATTTGTTTTCTAATCTTCGGAACCACTCGATCACTGCTGTTGTATTTTTCCACGAATTGATGTTGAGTTCTGATCGTACTGTCTGGACAATTCTCTCCATGATGCTTTTACTGACTCGGCCAATGTCGCTTTTTGCAGGGTTGATCAGCCGGCATGGAGTGCTTTGCTGAAAGTTTTCTTTGTGGTCTTTTAATGTGATGTAAGCATCTTTCCTCGCCATTGTTTCGGACCGGTTAGCTATGTTGAGATCCTCTGCGATCTGCTTGGCTTCGGCATTGACGTCGTCGTAGATGTGGTCAGGTGCATGCCGATAGTGCTTGGTCACGTTATCTGTCAGTAGCTTACTGTAAAGATCTGTGTCCACCGAGTACAGATTCCTTGTTTTATCCGCCGCGACTAGCATGTCATCGGATCTCCGGATCCTTGACAGGTCCTCTCTCATCCTTTCTTGCAGCGAGTCGTTAACGCGGCGGAACTTGACGTTTTCTACCATACTCCATAGGTCCTTCTCGAACTCGATCATGTCGTCTATCTGCGGCGGGCAGTTTCTGGTCTTGAATCCATAGGTTTCCTCCTGGCAACTGTCCTGTTCATCTTTGCCCTTGATAAAGAAAAACGCCCTCCATCTCATTCGCTTGATGAGCTTTTCAGTCATCTCCACCACTCCACCAGTTTCAGCTTGTAGGTCCGCTCAGTAGGCAGAGGGATGTTCTTCATCGAGTAGTCAATGCTGAACAACCTTGGTCGATCCATTCTCCGTTAGGTTACAGCTAACACAGCCTTTCGCCTCTGTTGTGTGTGTATACTGCTCTGTACATTCGTACATTGAGCACTCTACCTCGAGCTTCCAGGACCGGCCTTGTTTGTATCTATCTATCTATCTATCTATCTATTTATTTATCTATCTATCTATCTACATGTAGCTATCGTACACTGCTTGTTCTTTCACTGTGTCTTTTGTACAGCATCTCTCTGTTTCCGAACTCATTTTGCACATTTTCCCTTTTTTCCCAACTCCAATGTTCATTGTATATACACAAATAGGAGATCCCCCCGATAGGCGTTAGCCTTTGGGTAATCCTGAAATAAAGATTATAATTATTATTATTCTTATATCTACATGTATCTATCTATCTATCTATCTATCTATCTATCTCCCTCTCCTTCTCCCCCCCCCCCCTCTCTCTCTCTCTCTCTCTCTCTCTCTCTCTCTCTCTCTCTTTCTCTCGCTCTCTCTCTCTCTCCTCTCTCATCATGTATACGTCACACTCTCATGTAATATTTCTGTTATAAGATTGCATGTTTCACACTCTCATGTAATATTTCTTTCCTTTCTTCGTCTTTTTGTGAGAGCTTGGACAATCAACTTGTCCAGGCAAAAACGCAGAAATGCCTGTTCATTCTGGCAAAGTAAAATAAAGCATACCAACCAACCAACCAACCAACCAACCAACCAACCACGATCATCATCACCAGTCCATGGTCACCTCGACCTCCAGGTCTCACCCATCCCAGCGAACGGTCATTCACTCTTTTCTGCACCTCTTATCATGATAAGCATGATAGAGTCCACTCCAATGTAGTTGTGTCTTTCGATACCACCAGGACAAAATACGAGAAGCTTGCGCTTGCTGCGTTCGCCTGTCCAGTACAATCCGTTCTGCATTAGCAGGGGCTGTACATGTACATGTAGTGCAATTCCAGAACAGGAAGGGTAAAATTTGGTTTACAAGATAGCCACAAACCATCATAGCGCAAACGCCAGCAAGAAATAGCAGGGAAGCATGGCCGCCGAAACAGTGGAGGCGGGGCAAGAGCAGCCAAGCCGACCAAGGGTTTAGAATACTTTTGTATAATTATGTATCGGCGCTGCTCATGCGCGCCAAACAGAAAATCAGAAAAATAAGCTAAATGAAAAGAAAATGAATAGGAGCACTATTCTAACAAACAGTGGAGTTACTGCGTAGGGGTCAGGAAGAGAGCAAAATAAAGAGAGATTGATGAAAACTAAAAGGCCTATATGTACGTAACTACTATTATTAAGACGAGGAGCAAATCCAGGGTAAAAGAAAACGAGTATGAGCGTACAAGAATACGTTGGAAAGCAGTTGACTTGAAGGTGGCCAACTGTGTGGCATCTCTGATTTCAGAATATTGAGAGAATTCCTGAGAATTGCACCAGCATGTGTCACAAGCTTGACTAAGACTTTGGTGCTTAGTTCTTCCTTCTTCTTTTTTTGTTAAAGAAGCCACTCAAGCTTGTCTTCAGCATGTTCATAAAATGAAATCGGTACAATCTTCAATGACCATTCATTGCGGCCTTTCTCAGTGCTGAGTGTGCTAATCATATTGGCATACAAACTTGTCACTGTAAGCATAACTATTGCATATTGCATCATTGAACTGTCCGACTGGGTCTGGGCCTCTATCAGTGAACAGTACAAGTAGTAGGCAGTTTTCCCTTCCACGGCCGTTGGGCTCTCCCTGATTCCAGTTTTGGAATGTGATGCGATCGCCGTTTGTCCAATGCCATACACCATCTGCGTCCCTGTCCTCTCCACTGAGCCAAATACGTCCTCCTGCACGTGCGTCCGAGACAGCCATGACTGCTGCCAGTTCCGTCGAATTTCGTACCACCGGCAAGCTTCCGCCATCCGCTTCGCAATTCGCATTGGCGGCATCCCATGATGTTCTCGTTCTGAAGAGCTCATACCGCCTCTCACGTCTGGGAGTGGGAGTGGGAGTGGGAGTGGTGCTCAGTTGTCCTCCAACACTACTAATAGCCTTTTGTACAAGTTGCGTCAGTGAATCTATCTTGGCATTCATCTCCATTTTGTAAGTCTCCCACGGTGTATAGAAGTTCTGTTTAGACAGCCACAGTTCCTCACACCTGTCTCCAGAATATCCGACCCTGCACCGGCATACCGCCTTTGTGTCTCCGTTGACACACGTTGCTCCATTCAGGCATGGGTTGGACGCACAGTAGCCGACCTCTGTCTGGCAGTGTTGTCCAGTGTAGCTAGGTGAGCTACACTGGCATGCGTATCTACCACTCTGCAACACACACTGTCCATTGCCACTGCAGATTTCATGACCATTACATTGGCTTGCTTGGCTGCCCGCATTCAGACACGTGTGGATGGCATTACGTTCCGTCACCGACAACGTACCGGTTGCTGTCAGCAGCGACTGCGAGATATCTTGCACCTGAATTCTGAGATAAGCGAACGCTTGCTCAGTCCGGGAAGCTCTTTGGGGATCAATTCCGACTGCTTGAAACGCCGACGAAAGGCAGCCGGCTTCATGGTTTAGTCCGCGTGATAACGCAAGAGATACACTTAAAGCCAGCTGCAGATAGACTGCCAGAGACAGCGAAGTCTGGTGCTTCATGGCAGAGCCAGACAGGAACGTTCGGTCAACAGACGATCGAGGAAGGAGGGAGGGAAACTGAAGAAGTCGTTTGGCAATCAAGCCTCTTATACACTTGTCCATACCATGGTTATGTGTGTGTGTGTGTGTGTGTGAGCATCCAGCCCTCTTGTCACATTCGGAAAATTCACATTTGCAATGCCATGACCATGTGCCAAACGTCCAAAAATCACGATTGCACTTTACATGACCACATCACGTTCTCTCACCTCTCGATCAGCGAACAGCCTTTACGATTGTTCAAATCAATATGCTGCAAGACCGTTTACCACCTGGTTTACACTGTCACCCAGTGCAATTTACACTGTATTAAGTACATGTAAATAAACTTTACATGACCACATCACGTGCACGTTCTCTCACCTCTCGATCAGCGAACAGCCTTACGATTGTTCAAATCAATATGCTGCAAGACCGTTTACACTGTCACCCAGTGCAATTTACACTGTAAGTAAATAAAAAAGTAAAAGATCGTGTCCGTTCCCGGAATAAACTCACGACGGCCTCTCAGTCTAACACTCGGTAAGCCCTTCAAGGTTTGCACTGTAAGTACAAACACACACTGTAATACAATACATGTACAATTGTTTACACTGTAATACACAAGTAAGTTACACTGTAATTCAACACAATAACATCTTCACTGTTGCTCTGTTGTAATCGTGGCGGACTTCCCACCCTCAGACATAACGAGTTTCGAGATCTCCTGGCGAAGGAACTACCCACAATCTGCTCAGCAGTCACAGACTAGACTACAGTGCTAGTGGGGAATGAAATAAACAGAAAAGAGCAACGCAAGACTGCCAAGAGTGCACGTAGATCTACGTACGTAGATATACGAGACGATTACGGATTAGCATGCACTGCATGCACCGGCGCGGTGCACCATCACCACGATCATCCAGAGAAAACTGAATAGATTATCATCACTGCTGAATAATTACAGCTTGCGACAGAGCTCTTGGCCATTGAAGAAAATGTTGAGTCACCTTTTAATCATTTTTAATCATTTTTGTGAAGGTAGATGTTGAATGATTAAAATCATTCAACATCTACCTTCACTGATGAGCTATGTATTACAGCGAAACAGCTGCCTGAAGGAGTTTATCAATATCGTCTACGGAAGTGTCCTCGCAATGGTGATGGTTGTGTGCAGGAGGGTCTAGACGGCTAAAGAGCGCAGTGTAATGGTGGAGGACTCAACATTTTCAATGAATAATGTCAATATAGTCGGGAAACCATTGAATTGAGTTAAATTAAGAATATTATTGTGCCAGATAAATATTGGATGATTGCTGATACTGTACCAAAATATATTGTCTAATGCAAGATATTAATCCCACATAATTATTGAAGTGACATGTGATTTTCTGCTCAGGTCAAGTGCAATGCACTATAACGAGCCTGGCACTGAGCAACAAATGAACAAACGTCCTTTGTTATACGAGCCACGTCCACGGCATCCACGGAAGCAAGTAATTGCCCACCGCAAAAGGCAAAATGATAATCACCACGATCATCATCGTCACCATGGTCACCTCGGCCTCCAGCTCGCTCTTCCCGGATCCCACCCAGCGAGCGATCATTCACTCTTTTCTTTTTACTCTCGTCGTCTCGATCTCATCATCATGATCATGCGTGCCGCCAAGAAAAAGCAATAGTCCGTACAACTGGGGACCATGATAACCTCTGCAGTCGTGTCTTTCGAGACTGTCAGCATCTCAAGTACTTTACTTAGACTAGTGCCGTGGGGTCCACCGTCCAGCCTCCGGAGATCTAGATTGCCAGGAGAGCC